CAGAAGTGGGATAGATAGAAGTGGGATCAGCAAAACCATTGAGGTGAGTAGCCTTTTTGTGTCTTATTGACGCTGATTGTCTATGACCCCCCTTTGGTTTAGTAAGACTGTATCCAGTAGATAGGAAAGGTGTAAGGACTCTAGTTATATTGAGACCATGAGAGGTCTCCGGTTTATATTGAGACTATAAGAGGTCTCCGGTTTATTAGACATTTGGTCTAAATATATAGGGTTTTGGTAACCCAGGTTAGTATCTAAGATAGATACAGGGTATCTCAGGTAGATACAGGTTTTTGAGACCATAAGAGGTCTCCGGTTTATTAAGACTATAGGTGTTCTGAGGGGCACGGTTTATAGATCTATAAGTATAACCCAAACTTCTCTTTCTCCCGGTCACCTTTGTTTGTCTTAAGTGTTCTTTGTGGGTGATTGTCTATATTGGGGACACACTTTGGTAAGTTAGTAGTATCCCCACTTTGAGTCAGCAGTATGGGAAATGTGAGTTCAGGTCCTGAGTGACCAATATATGTATGTATATATGTATGTATATATGTGTGTGTATATGTATATGTGTATATATATAAGATAGCAGTACTTTTAAACAAATGGAGGTTTTAAAAATACATAGGGATTAAGGAGAGAACGCAGGTAACTTGTTTTTCTTTGGTTTTTACCATATATTGGGGCTGATGTGTACTGTAGTCCTTGCTGCTGCCCAGTAGTGATGGGAGTGAGCGCAGGACTTATCTTTCTGCAAGATAGCAGTACTGTATATTAGAAAAGAAATGACTCACAGGTTGTACCTGATAGACCTACTTAAATCTTTTTATTTTATTCTTTCTGTCGCATAGAAGTAGAAGTTTATTACTTTGTTTTATTGTAAATTATTTCACATGGGATCTGTGTGCCTGGTATGATTCTTGCTTTAAAAATACTATAAGCCCACTACACTTATTATGAGAGTGGGATAGTGTAAATGTGTTGCATTGTTTGCATGATGAGCTCAGTATATTTTATAACTGAGACAAAAAGTCACTTCATTAGTATTTGAAAGTTAATTCCCCATATGGGATTAATTGTATAGAAACACCAATCAGCACATCTTCCCTGCCTTGTGTGTTTGTTGCAAAGGATCCATACTAAATATGATTTATGTTTGAAAATAACAGAGCAACATTTACATTTTTAGCGGTCCAACACATGCTTTATTTTGTACTGTAAACTAACCTTTTTATTGCAACAGATTCCTTTTAAATGATCCAGTGTAATAACTACTGCTTGTGTCTTCTATGTCTCACATTATGTGTTATTTTAAATTGTGGTATATAGCCTGGATCAGACATCATGGACAAAGGTTTTTACCTGTGTTACTAAGGGCTCTTGGAGACTGACCGGTCTAAAGGTTTGCCATGCCTTAGAACATGGTATAGAATAAATTTTTTAAGTCTCTGAGAGTTCTGAAAGATTCGGGTGAAACCATGTCTGTTTAATCTGGTCCAGATGTTTGTTCAATTTTCTATAAGATTTAAGTTGACGCAGCATCATCTCAGATTAGTTAATGGAAGTTTATACAAATAGTTGAGTTATGAGCGCGCTATATAAATGGATCCTTTCTTTAAATACAATACTATAGTAGATTAAAGTAATGAAGTTAATTAAGAAAAAGTATACATAAGAATCCCTAAAATAAATCTAAACTAAAATTGGTATACCTTCCAATAATATGTTCTGAATACAGCTGTTAACTGTTTATTCTGTGTAAATGGTGATTGTGATAATGTGTGATAAGTGTGCAGCTTAACTGGAAAGTGGTTTAATTTATATGTTGCTGTATTGTTTTAAATTATATGTGAATCAGTTTGTCACAGTCTAGTGATACTGATAAGAATGACAGCCAAATAACTGTTTTATTAGTTGTTGAATACTAGCGTTTTGGCCAAGAATAGTTGGAGATTTGGAGGTGTTAGTTTAAGATTGCTTTTATATTGTGTCTATCCGTGTTTCCTAGGAGGGAGACAGAGTGTGTAGTTGTGTGCCTATAGATGTGATTTCAGTATTGGCATATCTGCTGGGTACCCATTATGTGTTTCTACAAAGATATTGCTTTGTGAGATGACGTGTAATATTACATTGGATGCTGAGTATGAGTTATATGGTTTGAAATGAATTGGTGATTATGAGTTTAGTACTTCAGTAAAATGTGCTAAAATTTGGAACAAGGTGGAAGCTGAAAGGTTGGGATTATGGAAGAATAAGCAGTCTATATTCACTGCTTTGGCATATAAGCAAGATGCAAAGGAAGAGATTGGTAATATGATTTTTGTAAAGAAATTTTACAAGTATTGGAAGGATGAGGCAGGTTTGATGTCTGGAGATGATATAGATCTCTTTAAAATACAGTCATGCCTTGGTAATATGTTGCCACAGTATTCTTTGCTTGTGAAACAATTGATTTCAGACTGGGCCAATTTGGATAGCTCAGATTTTCTTACCAAGGTTATAGAAAAGGAAAATGCAGGTTGTTTTGACTTAAGAAAAGATTTAGGAAAGTAAGGTTGCTTATTATGCTCAGGGATTGCAACACTGTCCACCTACACAGGCTGAGAGAGAGGATGGGATGGAGCACATAGAGCCTGTGGAAGGGGTGGTCAAAGAGGGGCAAGGGGATGGAGACAGGGAAATCAGGGTTATAGGGGCAGGGGTAACCAAGGAGGAATAGACAGGAATACTTGTTTCAACTGTGGCCAATATGACCACTGGAGGAATGAGTGTCCACACCCCAGGAAACCCCACACACCCCAACAACCCCACAATTCTCAAAATATGCCTGGTAGGCAAGAACAACACCAGACCCACTCCCAACACCACTGGCCAGCATATTGCTTAGTTCAGGACTTTAGAGCCCTGAATAGTTTCATTGTGCCCATTTCACCCATTGTCCCTGATGTGACATCCCTCATTACAGCCATTCCACATGATGCCACTTGCTTTACTGTCATTGATTTAAGTAATGCATTTTTTCTATACATATTGATCAAGAGACACAGCTACTTATGGTTTTTACTTTTTGAAGGCTGTCAGTTTACCTGGACACGCTTACCCAAGGCTATGTGGATTCCCCAGCTGTTTATTCGTTGGTACTCCAACATACTCTAAAAAACATGGACCACCGGTAATGGTTCCGTCCTTTATGCAAAATGTTGATGATTTGTTGTTATGTAGCCCTAGCTATGAGGCAAGCACTGTGGATACTGTCAGCAACTGTGGGTCACAAGGTTGTTAAACACAAAATGCAATTGTGTAAATCAAAGGTTGAATTCTTAGGTTTTGTTCTGGCTTTAGGCACCAGAAAATTGAGTCCAAAACGTATTGAGGTCATTCAGAGGATTCCAACACCCACTACTCGGAAGGAGTTGCTCACCTTCCTCGGCATGATTAATTACTGCCACCAATGGATCCCTGAATGCTCCCATTATGACTCAATCCTAAGGGAGGTTGTATGTTCTGACAGCCCTGAAAATGTCTGCTGGTCACCAGACATGCTAGCTGCATATATTGCCCTTACAGTTGTTATTGTGCAAGCCAAGGCATTAGGACTACCTGTGTATTGTAAACCATTTCATTTGTATGCTTGGGACAATTGTAAAACCATGGCCGCGGTCTGTGCACAAGAGCAAGGAGGTGGTATGCGTCCCATAGCATTCTTTTCCAAAGTAGTTCGAGCTCCGGTACAGGGTATGCCGGCGTGTCTCAGAGCATTGATAGCATGTGCAATGGCTGTTGAAACTGCTACTACTATCACACTAGGGCATCCTACTCATTTATACCAGTCCGGTGACAAGGTGTATATCCGTCAGCTGAACAGGACCAAGAAAGGAGGATACCCTTTTGGACCACCTGCTACTGTGATTGCTGTACCCAGAACCGCTGTCCACAGATTCCCATGACATCTGGATTCACGCATCCCGAGTGAAGCTGTGTCCAAATGGCAAGTTTGAAACCTGTTTGTTTCTGAAAAAAAGACTCTGACATGATGAACAATTCTTCAATACCCCCAGCCCAATTAGGCCTTAGCCCCTCATCTAGCATTCGTCACACACGCCCCCTCAAGAACCTTTCTCCACCACCTTTCTATCAGCATGTAATATGCAATCATTCATTCACTGAACGCATTTGGATAAATTGGACAAATACTAACCCTTATAATTACCAGTTACCCATATGAAATGTGTCCACAGCTAATGAAACCGATGCATTATGTTTGTTTAAAGGTTCACAGAAAATTGTTAGATCTTATAACGCAGAAATGTGCACAGTTAAGGTTGCATATCAATGTAAACAGACAGGCCTTATTACTTTTAATAATGATTATATAACTGGTATCATTAATTGGAAAAAGGGACAAATGTTAGTCATTATGAACGACACTACAATTGAGAACTATACACTACCTTATATTTTTACACCTTATTACTGTCCTTTATCCTCTACCATAGAACCAAAAGTCAACAACGACACACACACACCTATTTCGTCCACATGTATTAATACAACTGCCTTCTTACAAGCTGTACATGTGTCATTAAAAATCACTACTCGGGGGCGGAGCTGAACAGGCAAGCTGAATAGAAGCACATTGCATAAGCTCCTGCAGTATAGGCTCAAATTCTGCAAATATCTGGAGATTGCCTGCTGCGATTCCCCTACAAACCTGCCAGTAGGCTAGGGGAAGCAACCACGACTATGCCGGTACCAAATTTGAGACCTGATTCGACCGGGAACCGTGGCAGCAAATTGAGGCCTAGTGGAAACAGGGGGGAAGGACGGCCGCCTTCCCGCCAGATCCCAACTGTGAAAAGCGAGTGCAAAACACGCACCCTCCCCCCCCTATGGACCGGCGGGGGATATCCCGGTCCCCGCCTGGCGGGCTGCCCCGAACCCTACACCGACAGACAAGCACACAGACCACCATAAGAGACGAGGGGACGGGAGAGCTCAAGATGGCGGATCACTTCGACACAACAGTGTCCGACAAGCGACAGCGACCACAGGATGCAGAGGACACCGAGGACGGCGGAAAAGATCCTATCACACTAATCTTTGACCGCTTCTGGGCCAAACTGCGGGCACACATCAAGCCTGCAATGCCCAGCCAAACATTACCCACAAGGGTAAGAGCCGATGGCGGACGGGAGAATGGGAATCCTCCTCAAGGCAACTCTAAGACCCCCACATCGATCCCCCACCTCCTAGGCACTCCCGGGCTGAGAGCAAGATGGGGAGCACCCCAGAGGCGCTGGCCACACAAGTGGAGAGGGGCAAGACGAAACCTCAAGCGACCAAACCTACCTCTCCGCACGAACCCGAAAGGGCTGACCCTGGACCACGAAGGCTCCCAGGCTCGTGGCCTACGAGCGCCAGCTCTCCCACAGCTCCGGGGCAAGAGGGGATTCCCGCAACTGAGACGCTATGGCACTACCCAGATGAGACGGAACTCAAGCGTGAGGCCCAAACCTGAAAGGCAGCAGACAACCGGAGGTCACCGGGCCAGCAGCGATAAGACTAACATTTTAGCACAAGCTCGAGGGATGAACCCCCCCATCGCCATTACAGGCCTAAGTGACTGCCTAAATGTCTCCATCCACACCAGACAAGCGGGACTCTGCATGGCAAAGCAGCGAGGCCATCATCTGATGAATCCCAGGGACAATATGGAGATACCAAGCCGAGGCATCGGCTAACAGTGCCACATGCCCCCGAGCGAGGTACCCGTACCCCCCTCAGGACTTACTGTTATATACCAGCCCATTGATACCCAGGCAGATAATATTGTTAAGCTACAGTTGAAGTTACGCCAGCCACATGGGACTGGGGCCTTATCAACAGTGGTATGTTTCCTATGTTCCATGTCGGCAACCAATGATACCCTTAACATGTCTAACATTGGCAAACAGTGACTTCTTGCATATGTTTTATACAGACAACTAGGGAGCTCTTTCAAATGTTTTATAATGGCAACCCGTGATATCTTTTATATGTGTTACAATGGCAACCAGCGATATCTTACAATGTTTGAGAACTACCCTAAGCTTATGATACCAGCCTGTCTTTTTATATGTCTATACGCTCACATAGGTCCCCTTTGATGTTTTTGTTAACCCTTTCCAACCAAAAAATGCACAAATCTAGCCACAGCAAGAGAGCAGTGGGCCTGACATGTCACTCACAGACACTCGATCATACCCACGCAATGCTATAACCACACTAAGCAACAGGCACCCATGGGGGTCAGCTAGCCCATATAGCTACACTATACTCTATTTGCGCTCCCACACTAGGCGTACATGGTAACACGGTTGATTTGTAGATTCAGCTATTATATCTAAGGGGACAGAAGGGGAGGCTGGCAAGCAACTACATATCCTGGTCCCAGTCCAGACATGGTCACCATGCTACGTAACCTTTTTGCTTTAACCATAATCTCTCTACCTATAACATAAAAATTGTGCAAGAACTTTCAAATACCCCTATAGTTTACTTTGTTGATATGTTAAATTATGCATGAGGAAGGCCGTTGGGGTACCTTGTGCCTGTTTGTAAACCTATAAGTGCACTGCAAAATACATATACCACTAGATTGCCTTACTACGTTTAAAAAAAAAAAAAAAGTTTTAAAATGTGCTCTCACTTCAAAGCCACATATGTATAAATCTATGTTATTGATGTGATTATGTTTGCTGTTGTGGCAACGTATATCTTACTGTCAAACCATGCACAACAAAAATAAAAAATTCAAAAAAAATCACTACTCCTGTTGTAACATGATGTAACACAGCAAACAAAAGGCAGAAAAGGGAATGGTATGACACACTGTTAGGAGGTGCTGGAACCACTATGGGTATACTAAATAGTTATAGATATGGAGACCCTCAAGAATAAGTTAAACACAGCCAGCATACATATAGGGACTGGTTTCCATGCTACTGCAAACTGGGCTCCAATTGTTGTTAAATCACAGGTTATAGGATTGGATTTAGATAAATCAATGTATAACTATTTAGATAATTTAACTGTTGCAACTATGAAATTCACTACAGTTCTAAGTAACTGGAGTACTTGTGCCATCAGGTATTTATGGATACAACAACAAGGATTGGCATTAGAAAACACACTAATGATTCCTAAACTAGAGAAGATTAGAGGAAAGCGTAACCTCACAGATAATGAATGGTTACTTCTAAAACCCCAATCCACTAAATGCAATGGATGGTTAACTGGTAATGTTTCACATTTTTCATGCTCATGCTATTTTACATTATATCATACATCATCAAAGGATGTTAAATTAGCTTGTCAATTTAACACATTACCAGTACCAGTTTATGATCTTTTTGCCAAGAATTTAACCTGGTGTGCACCCACATACACAGGGGACTATATTTTTCCCAAAGATAACACACACAGGTAGCCACACATATCCTAAAAGGAGAACTTCTTAAGGTGAGTTCACAAATTCAGAATGATTTAGTCCATCATTGGTACGATGCTTTTACTGGTTGGTCCCCTACTGGATCCCAGATAATGAAATCATTCTTCTATCCTTTTGTTATTATAGTCCTGATTTTATTGTGTATGATTTTATATAACTGTCACCTTACTTGTACATTGAGGAAGAGAGTACAGAAATTAATCCATAATGCAGTACAGAAACAATTAGAAATTCTCCTCTCTGCCACTGGAGGCTATCAACCCATCTTTTAAACTGGGCCTTAGGAATTACCACATGGGAATCAAGGTGAAGAAAGTCCCGCAGGGGGTGACTAGCACCCCTGAAAATACCATGTGGAAGTTTCTCTGTCCTGGTAAGATTTTATCGATAAGATGAGCAAATTAATTGCTCAAAGAGGGGGATGTAAGAAATATGAAATAGTTTCCTTGTTTATATGTATTTTATGCTTTTATAAGGTTTATAAAATGATTATTGCTGACTGAAAGGATATTAAATACTTAAACTCAATTTACGACATAATATGCTGACTGTGACAGACTAAGGTATTTCTTCTATAGGATGTAAGACAATGCTAAATTTCAGGATGTCTTGCCCATTCCGATTTTAAGGATATTCTTTTCCAGACGTATGCAAAAGCTTATCTTTCCATTGTCAGAATAACATGTAATATAAGGAAGTAATAAATCTTATAGTCTGTACTGTAATGAATGGCATATACCATGGCTAATGTAAGCAAACTATGTATAAAAGCCAGCTCTGGAATACACTCATTTGAGAGTCTTGTCAAGCTGTTGTCCGTGTCTTATTGCTGACAATGATTCTCCATCAACATTGATTATGGTGACCGAGGGATCGAGAACCAAGGGAATTTGAGTCCATTACAGCATTAACCCTTTCAGTTACTAATAAGGATATGCATTAAACTGAGAATTCAAAGTGAATTTAAAGTATATTTCAAATCCAATGAAAAATAGCCAAACGGCAAAATTCCAGTTAGCTGTGCTTTACAGGGAGTGCAGAATTATTAGGCAAATTAGTATTTTGACCACATCATCCTCTTTATGCATGTTGTCTTACTCCAAGCTGTATAGGCTCGAAAGCCTACTACCAATTAAGCATATTAGGTGATGTGCATCTCTGTAATGAGAAGGGGTGTGGTCTAATGACATCAACACCCTATATCAGGTGTGCATAATTATTAGGCAACTTCCTTTCCTTTGGCAAAATGGGTCAAAAGAAGGACTTGACAGGCTCAGAAAAGTCAAAAATAGTGAGATATCTTGCAGAGGGATGCAGCACTCTTAAAATTGCAAAGCTTCTGAAGCGTGATCATCGAACAATCAAGCGTTTCATTCAAAATAGTCAACAGGGTCGCAAGAAGCGTGTGGAAAAACCAAGGCGCAAAATAACTGCCCATGAACTGAGAAAAGTCAAGCGTGCAGCTGCCACGATGCCACTTGCCACCAGTTTGGCCATATTTCAGAGCTGCAACATCACTGGAGTGCCCAAAAGCACAAGGTGTGCAATACTCAGAGACATGGCCAAGGTAAGAAAGGCTGAAAGACGACCACCACTGAACAAGACACACAAGCTGAAACGTCAAGACTGGGCCAAGAAATATCTCAAGACTGATTTTTCTAAGGTTTTATGGACTGATGAAATGAGAGTGAGTCTTGATGGGCCAGATGGATGGGCCCGTGGCTGGATTGGTAAAGGGCAGAGAGCTCCAGTCCGACTCAGACGCCAGCAAGGTGGAGGTGGAGTACTGGTTTGGGCTGGTATCATCAAAGATGAGCTTGTGGGGCCTTTTTGGGTTGAGGATGGAGTCAAGCTCAACTCCCAGTCCTACTGCCAGTTCCTGGAAGACACCTTCTTCAAGCAGTGGTACAGGAAGAAGTCTGCATCCTTCAAGAAAAACATGATTTTCATGCAGGACAATGCTCCATCACACGCGTCCAAGTACTCCACAGCGTGGCTGGCAAGAAAGGGTATAAAAGAAGAAAATCTAATGACATGGCCTCCTTGTTCACCTGATCTGAACCCCATTGAGAACCTGTGGTCCATCATCAAATGTGAGATTTACAAGGAGGGAAAACAGTACACCTCTCTGAACAGTGTCTGGGAGGCTGTGGTTGCTGCTGCACGCAATGTTGATGGTGAACAGATCAAAACACTGACAGAATCCATGGATGGCAGGCTTTTGAGTGTCCTTGCAAAGAAAGGTGGCTATATTGGTCACTGATTTGTTTTTGTTTTGTTTTTGAATGTCAGAAATGTATATTTGTGAATGTTGAGATGTTATATTGGTTTCACTGGTAATAATAAATAATTGAAATGGGTATATATTTGTTTTTTGTTAAGTTGCCTAATAATTATGCACAGTAATAGTCACCTGCACACACAGATATCCCCCTAACATAGCTATAACTAAAACAAACTAAAAACTACTTCCAAAAATATTCAGCTTTGATATTAATGAGTTTTTTGGGTTCATTGAGAACATGGTTGTTGTTCAATAATAAAATTAATCCTCAAAAATACAACTTGCTTAATAATTCTGCACTCCCTGTACGTTCTGCTACTTTGGCCTTAAAATTCGAAATTCACATTTAATTCACTTAAAGTATCAAGGAACCAGGTTAACGTTATGGAAACATGAACTGGCGACCTTCAAGAGAGTCATACTGCCCAAATACCCATGAGGGTGTAAAGAGAAGGAAGAAAAAAAAAAGGATGGGGGAGGAGAGGTTACTTGTGACCTTATCATCTTTCTAAACAGCCTCTCTGCACAGCCTTTCTAATATGGTTTGTTTATTATAAAATAGAAGGGTGGTGTTTGAGGGTTTTATGCACTGTAAGCTTGGATAGAATATCTCTTGGCAAAGTATAGAATAGATATGTCAGGCATTTATTCTCAGAAACAAAACTTGAACATTTATCGAATTGACAGTTGTCATGACAATCCTCAGCTACATTGCAGAATCAGGCGTTACATGACCTCAATATCACACCAGAGTGGCAGAACAGGTGATGGCTGCAGCATGTCTGCTGAAGGAAGCCCATGCATGAATTAACACTCTCTTTTTGAGCGTGATGTGATTTTCGGGTTTGAGCAACAAATTCCAGAGGAAGGAAGTGGTTTACCTGGTTTGGGAATACTGCCAACCTGCCACTGCACCTGTGTTCTTGGGATGTTTCATAATTAGCTAATTTGGCTGTTTTCCTATCCATCTGGTACTCCCAACATTGTTTATAAATAAAAACAATACACAAACCATGTTCGTCAGGAATAAGCCGCAGATAATGTTTTATAACCATATAGAATTTAGACATTGCTAAACCATAGAATGACTTGCTTCTTGTATGTCTACTATAACAGATTATCAGTGGGATTTACACACTATTTTTATTCCCCTCACCCCATGTTGTCCCATACCCAGTAGTGGATAACTTGAAGTTTAGAAGGGCATGTAAATCAGTATATAACTTAGCGCAACTCAACAAGAAAGTATAGATGTAGATCAGTGGTGACCAAAAGGTAGATCTTCATTTGTTGTAGAACTCCCATGATCATTTGCCAGCCTTAAAGAAACACTATTGACAGGAATACAAACATGTATTCCAGTCACTATAGCTGTGAAAACAAAGCTTAGGTATCTGGCCCCCCTCTCAGCAAACTAAAAGGTAATTTTACTCACTATTATTTCAGCACCGTGCGGGTTTCCTCGTGGCTGGCCCTGCCCCTTTTCCACCTTATTGGCTGAGATCCTCAAATTTGAAGACCTCAGTAAAACCAATGCTTTCACATAGGAAAGGCAAAATGCCATGCTGCACCAATTAGCATCTTCTCATAAAATGCACTGAATCAATGCATCTGTACGAGGAACGTTCAGCGACTCCATGCATAACGTGGAGATGCTGAACGTCAGTGCTGCACATTGTGCAGCACTGCCCCAGGAAGCAGCTCCAGTGGCCACCTGAGTGACAGCCACTAGAGGTGTTACTAAGCAGTAATGTAAACACTCTCTCTGAAAAGGCAGTATTTACAGTAAAAAGCTTGCAGAAACCTACTAAACACACCAAAACAACTACATTAGGCTGTAGTTGTTCTGGTGACTATGGTGTCTCTTTAAGAGAATAACTGTTTTTAAACCTGTTAACTACCCCTGTTGTGGACTGTAATCTGTGAATTTGTCAATCTGTTAAAGAGTTAATAACCAGTGGAAGCACATTACACAACCATGGGCAGTTTCACAGTTACACCGTCTGATTGAAGAAATCAAACAATATTCCAGATCCAAGTAAGAGACATGAACATTAAGAATACATTCCTGCAGTGTTGTATTATTTAAAACAGTTATGTTTGTTTTAAACCCAACAATCTTGTCATGAAATGCATATAACACGGTCAGCTGGTTTCAACATGTCTTTATTGCAGAGCATTAACTTGAGGTGAGACAGCATCTTCAGCAGACAGCATTACATTGGAAAAATTACAGTTAGTTCCACCAGCTGCAACCGGCCCCGCCACCTTTCTGTGATGTCAGTCAGGCTCTCATCACAAATCCAAATATATTTTAACCATTTTCTGCCAGTAATGCTGGCAGAGTCATTTTCGACTGATAAATAGACATAACATTTGTTGCCGTCAACAAACACATGATCTCAAGACTTGCTGACATTGCAATATTAGCGACAAATACAATATGAATTTCATGGGCTTTTCAATTAATTTTTAAAATTAACTCCTTTAATGAGTACATCTGGAGTGATTGATCAAAAGGACACACCAGGCACCAGTACAAGTTGAGTGCATTGGATAAATTGGGCCTCATATTCATATATACTTTTTTCTCCATATTCAAATCTCTTTAGTTTTGCTAACCCCCCCCCCCAAA